CCGCGTTTTACAGTATTTTCTGTCCAGGTATACATAATACTTTTTGATTTTTTCCCAGAGTAAATGGACCTGCAGTACATCCAAAGTTGCCTTTCATAGAATACGTCAAAAGTACACATGTGGGCAAGGAATATTCTGCTTCAAGTCAAAGCAACTTCTGTATCCTCGTTTTCTCGCGCTTTTAACAAACATTCTTGCATTTTAGTATAGAAGAGCTTACCCCTTGTTTTATACACTTTGAGTTCTGTTTCCAAACTTCTTTTAAAAGCTGCATTTTTTTCGCGAGAAATTTTGGCCTCCATTTCTGAACAAGTTGTACAAACATCAGAACGGGGGCGACCAAATGTGTAGTTATAGTTATCACGAAAATACTGCAAGTAGAAAGAATATTTAACTTCACATTTCAATTTTTGTAGATAACGTTCATTTTCCATAGCATCTAAAAGAACTTCCGGGTAATGTTTTTCCAAGAGCATTTCATACATTTTCAAAACACTTAGCTCCGATGATAGATACCTTCTTCGCTCACCGCTCGGTCCATAGTGTACAATATAATATGGAAAACTTTATATATGGGCGTCAATAAGTTGAACAATATTACTAGGTAATTTGTTTTTTCTGTTTCGATGCTTGCTTCGATTATCGCTTGGTACTGCAGCTACAGTCTTCGAAGCACTAATATTTCGCACCCTTTTGGTCCCAATTCCATGCAACCTCGCAAATTCTAAAATATATATATAAGTAGTTTAAAAGATGTATGTGAAATCATAAAAACCTTAAAAGTACAATATTTGAAATTAACCTAGTCTGGCTCTGACATACATGCAGATATAGACTCTAAAAATAAATTACTTATTAATAATTACGTATTCTTAAAAAAATACGTTATTTACTTACCAGTTTAGTTACCAATTTGTTTAAAATTAGACTACACAACACGACCGTTTCCAGTAAACAGACTTAAGTTTCAAAACACGTCGAAACCTTTTGATGTTACCGCTTCCGAGCGGTACTCGAGAAACAAAACTCCAACTGTCCCAAAACAAGCCAGTCTTCAAAAAGTTTTCGAGAAGTTTTGTTTTTTCGACACGAGTTTCTGTTTTGTTCTTGTCTTGTCCGTTTAGTGGAAAACCGCCATAATACCTAGTAACTTTTCGTACAACAATTTAATAAATTTTCCTTTTTTTTAGGAAAAAGTTATAGGGAAGGGACGTTACGGAGAAGTATGGCTGGCAAAGTGGAGAGGCGAAAAAGTGGCTGCCAAAATTTTTTTATCAACACAAGAAAAGTCTTGGTTTAGAGAGACGGAAGTTTATAGAACGATCCTTATGAGGCATGAAAATATTTTAGGATTCATTGCTGCTGATATCAAAGGTAAAGTCTAAAAATTAATGGAATTCAATAAATATAACGAATGCGGGTGAATGTACAGTGCCCAGATCTCACGTGACTAATTTATTGTTATCATAAATCATTTTTTTCTACACCCACATGGATATTAGCTTATCGACGCACAGATTACAAAACGAAAAAAGTATGCTATTGCATTTAAGTAAACGAATATATTTCATATCCATTCTAGGTAGTGTGAACACTAAAAAAAATAAATCCACCAATTACAGTTCATATTTTGGACACCCAACTACTATTATTTTTAAAATTTTAAATAAATGACAATTCTGTCAAACTGATTTTCAGTATGTTGTTTAGTTATTGCGATTAAATATACATTAAAATGAGTAATTTTTCTGTAAATGAATAATAGCATATTTATTTTTATTTGGTCCATATTTAAAAAAAAATTAAATTTTAATCAAACTATATGAAACTAATTTAGATACGAGTACTAAAACTAAAATCATAAAAGTGGCCGTGGAGCTGTGGGCAGAACATCAGCCTTCCATGCGAATAGCTCGGGTTCGAATCTAGACTCGCGACAACATTTTTTTTTTCATGTTTATTTTAATTTATAAATTACTAAAAAAATTCAATAAATATTTTGTCTTGATGACCTAAAATCATTTTCTAAATTTTTAGATTTTTGTTAGTGTGTCGTAGAAAAAATATACTTTACAACTCGAGTGAATTGTCCATATTGCACTCAGATGATTGAGCATTCCGCCTACGGCGTCGTGCTCAAATTTCGTGCAATAAGGCCATCATAACCACTCTTGTTGCACAAACTACTATAGTAGCATCTGTAAAACAAAGTCACCGATCTATTTGACAGAATTGATACTTAAGTTGTCATAACCTAGGCAAAGGCTCCATATATGTAGAAACGCGGAGCTTTTAAACTAACAACAAATTTTTTCTAAAACAGTGAAGTTTTTGATTTGTGATAAAAGACTAAGCAGTAGATAATAACACATTTCTAGAAGGGCTACAAATAGTTTTTTCATAAAATTCACTCTAAACAATAACAATACTCTCTTTAAATGTATAATACAGTTTTTTGTATACAGTATGGTTCAAATGAAAGGAATAAATTCATTATAATGGAAGTAGCTGGTTTTTCGAAAAAATGCTCGGACAGGTCAATTTTGTTTACTTAAAGCCCAATTTTTTAAATAAAATTCAATTTTCCCCCACTTCCCATTTTTGGGCAGTGACGTCATTGACAATTTTTTTAAATAGCAACCCCAATTTTTTTTCTTGATTTTGATAGATCTTGCAATTCCTACTCGGAAACATAATATTTGAAATATCTGACATAACAATTTTTTTTGAAAAAAAGTCATTTCAAGATCAGATACATAAATTTTATGTTATTTTGAAACACAATAAATTAATAACAGATAATTATTTGTAATTAAATGCTTAATCTAACAAAATAATAATAAAAAAATAATAATAAAAAGAATTTGTGAAATTGTCATTAAATTCGTTTTATTATTATTATTATTATTATTTTTGGATTTGGAATAAGGGTATGCAGTTGAGTGGAATGTAGGTAAAAAACTTAAAAACACTATTTATTTTTTCCAAGAATAATACAATATTTATTACATATAAAAATGTTAAACAAAATAAAATAAACTAAATAAATAAAACAAAAACAAGATAAATAAATCAAGATTTATTTTAAACAAATTTACAAATCCAATTTTGGAGTTAATTTAAACAGTTTTACAAATTAGAAATAATGAGAGATTTTTAAATCAAAATTCAGATTTTTAAGACTAATAAATTTATAAAAGTTAATAAGTCAATAAATTTACCATATATACAAGGCGGGGATTTTAAATGGAATTCTACTTATAGATATGCCGATAAGAATTTTGTAAAATCCGAAAACACGTAGAACTATACAACAATAAACCTGCGTTAGTGCTAGGCGTTGAAAAAAAACTATATTTTTATTTAAAAAAGAAAATATTCGTTTCTAAACAATACTACTTTTATATTTATATTTCTTATTCTATTTTTTCTTGGAATATCTTTTTTGTGGTCTCCCAATAAATGCGAATATTGAAATATTTTAAAATCAGCTTTATCAAATCTAGTGAGTGATTTTCAAAAATATCGCCAAAAAAATTGAATATGTTAGATTCTAAAGTCTTTACAGTATTTAAAATGAATATATCCAAAACCTTCAAAATGGTCCGAGCATAACACTCTATTTCGGACACCTTCATTTTCTTTAAGTCCTACAAGTGATAGCCAAATATTTCTTGCATTGGGAATATAAAAAGAAAGCTTAAGCATATTTATTTTACTATTTAAGTCCAGACCAAAGTATGTCCATTAATAACAATTTTTTGCGAAATTAATAATGTTAAAAAATCAAAGGAAACAAATAACAGTAAGAAACAAAGGTAGATTTGCTGCGTTTGAATATCCACATCAGATGCATCTGAGATGTTGTAAATCTATGATCAAGTGATTCAATATACGTAAGTATAGTAGGACAGATGTATTCAATGTGGATAAACAAAAGCTCGGGTTGTAAAAAATGCGTCCGATGTGGATTTTCAAACGCAGCAAATACATGTGATATTACGGCAAAAATATTTAAATATACACCACTGAACAATACAATACATCACCTAACCTAACCTTACTTTATTATAAAAACACACTTCAGCACTCACAGTATCCAGTTTTTTGTACAAAATGCACTCGCGAACCATGTGGTTAGCTATACACTAAAACTATAAGCCAAAATATTTCGAGAAAAGTATAAAAATCAACAGAAACATTCGATATGGAACAATTTGCTGGATGGCAACGTCGCAAACTATCGATCGATAAAATACTACACGTGACGTATAGTATGAACGAAACAAGGTTATTTTCAATTGCGGTAATGTCACGTTTAACGCTTTTAAAATCCATGCATTTATTTGCAGGCCTATTAATGGTGTTTGTCATAGTTGTATGTATGTAAAAACGATAGGTACAAAAATATCCTGCATAATAGTCTTAGAATAGGTGCTGCTAAAAGAAGAAGTCTTCTGAAATAGCTTAATGTATTTTGTAAACATTTTATACGTTTTTTGTCTTGTTACAAGTCATTTTATTTAGAAACTTACTATTAGAAATGTTTTGAGAAATATTGCACTATCTCTGCCCACAATGCGTCGGAGTGGGAAACACTGTACTAGGTACGAAAATGAATTGGCAATACATCTCGAAATTATTCTAATTAATAAAACTTGTTGCTATAAGTGAGTTATAGTTAAAAACTATTTTTAAATATGTAAGGTACAAACTACACAGCCCTGGCAACTGCGCATCAGGCAACGCATGTCGGTTCTTTTACAAAATCGCTACGTTTCTTTGCAAAGTATGACCGGGTTTAAAAGGCAGTTTCAGATATAAATAAAGAACATTAGAGAAAATGCATTGATCATGTAAAAAAGGTGAAAAATTCATTTTTGAAAGTAGATATAGCAGTGGAAAACTTAATAGACCCTATAATAATAAACCTCAGAAAAACAATGATAATGGTACTAGTAGTTATAGTGAAGACAGTGACTTTTAAAGATAGTTCTTGAACTTTTTATTTTTTTAAATCTTTGATTTTAGGTACTGAAGTGTTAGTTTTAATGCCAAGAGATTAAAAACATATACAATAATTAAAGCGCGGATTTATATGCAACACAAATTAAAAAAAAATATGCATATTTATAATCACTACAAATGACGAAAATATGCACAATTTTAACTGAAATATGCAGTGTTATATGCAAAAATATCTCCAAAAAGTGATGATTTAAAAAACACAGATGTAAGAAAAAATTCATTTATGCGATAGTCACAAATGTGATATAGTAAAAGAAATATTTACATCATTTTTTTGTCTGCAGTAAGTTTCTTAATGATACGCCAATATTTAAAGGTATAAATCTACATGAAAATTTAACGATAATTGGCTGTATAAACTATTTTCTAAGTATCCAATTTTTTTTTTGTATTTTTCAATAATCACATTAATTTTCTCCGACAATACAACAGTTTTTATTTTTTTACTTAAAAACGTAGCATTTATGTAAAATGTAAATTGATTAAGATTTAACGTCCTGTGATATATTTTGATTTAATTTTTTTTCCTGCAAAATACCAATTTGTCTATTAAGAGTATTAATACATTTAAAAAACACATTTTTCACTATATCTGGTTTAAATACTTTAAATTACATTTGTTTCATTTATAATCCAAAACAACAATTATTTACAGGAACATGTGGGTGGACGCAACTGCTTTTAATAACAGAATATCACGAGAATGGGTCCCTCTTTGATTATCTTCAGACACATTCTTTAAATATCGATTTACTTTTATCTATGAGTTTGGGAATCTCTAAGGGCATATCACATCTACATACAGAAATTTTTGGGGTAAGTAAACCAATAAATATTAAATACCAAGAGACTAAAATGCATCTTTTAATACCAAAGGCGAAGATCACCTGAAGGATTAAAAGGGACTTATGTCCTATGCATTTAATAGTCTGTGATTTTGTCATTCATAAAAACTGGCAATAACCTGTAAATTTTTTAACCGATCATTTAAAATATATTTCTATCACTGTATATATTATGAAGATAGTATCAAAATGTTTGATCAAACTCCCTACAATGTACAAAATCAAAACTAAATTATTTCATATAACTACTTATTTATAACTTATGCCGACCCTGAATTGTAAACTTTATTTACAACAATAATTACATTATATTGCATTACTCAAAATAAAAATTATTTTTAGGTACCAGGAAAACCCCCTATTGCTCATAGAGACTTGAAAAGTAAAAATATTTTGGTAAAAAGAAACTTAGATTGTTGCATAGCAGATTTTGGTTTGGCAGTTCGTTATAATGGTACGACTGAAACTGTTGATGTTCCTTTAACGGATAGAAGCGGAACTAAAAGGTGAGATATTTTAACGAATTTGTTTCGGATACTTCTGCTATAATAAAACATGAAAACAACCTTATTTCTTTAAATATAATGTATCCACATCCTCTGTCTATTATCTAAACTGAAATGAACATTTAAAAGTAGGGGTTTTATTATTTTTAAATATATTTTTTTCATATCTAGAATCTTTTGAAAAACAAAGAAATGTTTTATTATCAGTTTTATTAGGTTTTAAGACATCTGAATACCTATGAACTTCTGTTTTATTTATCCCCTTTGCATTGTTATTTGATAACTGCATTGAATGATCTAATTTATTGTTGCTTTAATTTTTTAGGTATATGGCTCCAGAAATTTTGGCGAAAACTACAAATTTAGACGATTTCGACTCGCACAAAATGGCTGATATGTACGCATTTGGTTTGGTGTTATGGGAAATATCAAGAAGGTAAGACTTTTTTAAAAATAGATAGGAATACATCTTTCATTAATAACTGAGTTTTAAAAAAAAAAAACGTATTTTCTCCGGAAAATTATATTTATATAAATATTAAACATGGTACTTTACCAGGTAGACACATCTAATCAGGTTAACCACACTATAAAATTTTACTTAAAATTAGTAGTCAGTCATTTAGAAGAAAAAATAATTCCTGGATGAACTAAAGTGATGAAAAAAAAAAGTATCCCATTTTTAGTTACAGTTTACACGTGTCTTCTTATTTCAGTTGCGCTTTGTTGTTGTGTAAACTTTATTAAGATGCGTTTACACGAATACAACCAGTCTATTTAAAAAATTCAGATTACGTTTAACATTTTGTCTACAAATACTAGAACAAGTACCTTATAAATAAATTTCACAGCTGAACATTGGTTTCAAGCGTTTTTAGAGTTTTTGAAGAGGTAAAAATTCGTGAAACCGATTCTTTGCAAAAAAAATATATTATAACAAGAGGCATAGAAAATATTAATTGAATAACTCATATAAATTTTTTTATATAATATTATCTTCACAATTGAACTCTGATTTAGACTTACTACTTTTTCTGTCACTTTCCTTGCGATATACCCACGTCTCATCCATAAATACAGGCTTAAAAGTTACTCGGCTCTATCTCCGTGTTAAAATTTTTCAAAAACGACATTTTTTTAACTGAATTGATGTCCGTTCCGATAAAAACTGTGTTGTTACTTCTTTTAAAGCGAGAGCCAATTTTCCGAATCTATGTGTATTAATTGACCGTGCACAACATTTCACATCTGGCATTTTTTCCGAAAATTGTTTATGTAACGATTTCATTGTTACACGTTGCGCACGTTCGTACATCTTATATATAATTTAATGTGTTAAATTAAATAAAGATCTTTGGTAAACCAATAAAACTAAGATATGTGCCAAAGTATTATTCAGGACATAAAATCAATCACACAATCAATGACATCACACTGAACTAGCGTATCATATAAAAAATAAAAATGTTCGCGGCTGCCAATACCTTATAATAAGGCTCAGTTCAAATTCATTTCGACACCCTCCCTATTTAAAATAAGTGCTTGGTTTTTAACACCATTTAAAAACCTTACTTTTAAATTGTAAAGGAATCTGCAACCAAGGAATGGGTCGGTACTATAAAGACTAGAGATAAGAAGGCGGATCGGCATACTCAAAATACGGTCCCAAAAAACCCACGCTCATTGAGATTTTATAATTAATCGCATGGGCGCTAGTACTGCATACGGTATTCAAAATACATGGCTTCTTATGGGAATTATACATAATTTTGTCAAAATAAAAAAAATAAACTTGTTTATAGCTAAATAAAGCACATAACATACTGTTGTATTTATTTCTAAATAAGTATTGCATGTTTTAATTGAACGATATATATGCTGGTACTGTTCTAAGCGTTTAGTATTCTATAAAAAACATTTACAATTGGGGTTCAACAAAATAAATAACAGTAACAACTCTTTATCTAACATTAAAACTCTATAAAAAATAAATTTTCTTTTCTAGTAAGTTAAATTTAATGTGTAATAATTGTTATTTGTGAGTCAGGAACTATGACTGTAAAATTTTACAATATAGAAACTTGTAATATAATAAACTACATTCCATAAAATACATATTGTGACTAGTTTACAATAAATATTATATTTAGACATAAATACATTAGTTTACTTACATTAGAAGCTTTAAAAAGACATTGAATCGATTTCTCCTTGTGTTTTTTTTTTTTTTTTTAGTTTTACAATTGATTTGTATCCTATTTTACAACATGGAACGACGTAAATCTTGCTTTGATGTTTTTTGTCACTCATGTTACTTGTACTCAGGTACTTTTTTTCACATTATTTTGATTCTTTTCACTAATTTTTTAAAAAATCACTTCGTTTTACATTGACTTACATAGAAAATTGACACCGCTGTTATCCGACATGCCAACTACAGTCAATTTCGCGAACTTTATAAAAAGAAGGACGGAAATTTGATATTTGACCATTGCCGATTCGCCTCCTTCTCTCTAGTCTTCATAGTCGGTACATACTTCAGGGTTAAAAGACTATCAGCAATTTTTTCTTTCAAAAAATGGTGAAGTACATCAATCTGCTTAGTTCGAGCTCGATAAACTCTATTCAATGCTAATTTCTCAGCACCTTGATTGTCAACATTAATTAAGGTTGGTTTACAGTTTGAAGACAACTCACGACTTAAACTATGCAACCATAATGCCTCTTGAGCTGCAGAAGATAAAGACATATACTCGGCTTCTGTGATTGACAATGCTACTGTAGGCTATTTCTTACTGTACCATGAAATTGGAGAATTATTTTGAAAAAAATGTATCCAATGACTGATCGTCTATCGTCTTCGTCACTTGCCCAATCAACATCGCAGTATCCGACTATATCTGTTTCAACAATTTTCTTTCCAACTTATAATCAATCGTTCCTTTTAAATAACGGAAGATACGTTTTACCGCTGCCCAGTAGGTAGGTCCAGGATTATGATTAAACCATAACAAATGTCGGGCCTTGAAACTACCCTCTGCTTCTTGGTATGGAACTCTTGCCATTTTTTTTTATCTCATCTGCACTGGTTGGAGATTGTTTTTTTGACAATCTTCCTCCACTACATGAGGGAGCTTCCACAGGATTGGATTTGTTCATATTCAATTTCTTTAAGACATTTTCTATATATGAACGCTGATCAATCCAAATTTTTTTATTAACACGATCCCTTGTTATTTGAAATCCTAGTACCGATTTAGCTTGACCAATGTTCTTCATTTTAAAGTTGTTCATCAACTGAAATTTCAAATCATCTTTAGCTTCTTTGTTGTTGTACAAAAGTAACATGGCTCTACATAGATGGCCATTATCAGCACTAACTCCTTGGTTATTTTAAAATAAATAAAAGAATCAGTTTTAGACTGTTTTAGTCTAACTTTTTTTAAAAACTGGCCAACTTTCTAATTCTAAATACGACTAGCATGTTTCAATCCATAAAGGGATGTTTTTAATTGACAAACTTTATTTGTTTTATTATAGTATTCTGGGGATTCATGTATATTTCTTCATTTAGGTCTCCTTGTAAAAATAATGTTACTGCATCCATTTGATCAATTTCGAGGTTGTGTTCTGCTACAAATGCAAGTAAATATCTCACAACAGGAGAATATGTTTCTTCAAAGTCAATACCTTTGAGCTGCGAACAACCCTTGATTACTAGACGAGCCTTATACTAAGCTTTATTTCACCTTCTTTAAATTTTGTTTTGAAAACCCACTTGTCTCACATACCATTTTCTATAAGTGCATCGTATTCACTCTGCATCGCGTGAAGCCAGTGATCCTTATCGATTATATCGATTATTGCTGAATATATTACATAATCTTTCATCGCTTTAGGTGATTTTCTTATTCGTTGAGGTCTATTTACGGATTCTTCTCTAACTGACACTACTTCCTCGGGTTCGTAGGTAGGGTCGACAGGGTCATCACTGTCTTGAATGGTTTCATTTTCTGAAATATCCTGATCAAGGATTTCATTTGAAGAATTGGAAACCTCGCTCAATACTTCATTTGCACGTACTATATTTTTTACTTCTACGGTTTCTATAGGTTCTTGATTTTCAGATATAAACAATTCTGAAAAGAAAGTTTCGTTTTGGGATCGAGTATTTACATTTTCTATAAATAAAGAACCATATTCATTTTCAATAAATTGTACGTTTCGAGAAATAAAAACAATATTCTTTTTAGGATCGTAGAGTCGATAGGCTTTTGATTCTAAACTGTAGCCAACAAAGATGCATGGAATTGCTTTAGCATCTAGTTTCTTTCTCTTTTGGCTAGGAACATGTGAAAAAGCCTTACAACCAAATATTTTCATATGTTCTACTGTTGGTTTTATTCTACTTTACGATTCTTATAGTGTCTTCTCGACAGCTCTACTAGGTAGTCGATTAGGTATGTACACCGGTATACACGGCTTCTGCCCAAAAATCATTTAGTAAGGCTGAGTCAATTAAAAGACAACGCGCCTTTTCCACGATTGAACGGTTGAGCCTTTCTGCTTTACCATTTTGCTCTGGGGTATACGGAGCAGACAATTGATGTATACCTGTAGCTTTGAAGAAATTTGAAATTTTGGCGCCACAATATTCACTACCGTTATCGGTTCTAAAACATTTAATTTTTTCGCCTGTCTGTGTCTGGTTTAAAAAATTTTAAATATTCGAATACCTGGTCTTTAGTTTTTAAAAAATGTACAAATGATTTATGACTAAAATCATCAAGAAAAGTTAATACATATCGTGAACCAGATAAACTTTTTACTTGCATTGGCCCACATAAATCTGAATGCACCAATTCTAGCAGTCTTGAAGTTGGCTTTCACTTGTTTTAAATGATAAACGGTGACTTTTTCCAAGTATACACACTTCGCAAGAAAGATCAGGTTAAAAACGAGCTAAAGAGTCAATACCATAAACTAGGCCATTTTTCAATTCATTAAGACTTCTCGAATTTGCATGTGCTAATCGTCTATGCCACAAATTACACTGTTTTTTGGTATATACACTCAATGAAGATGAGCCCTGCTCTCTGGCTGAAAAGGTATCTAATTTGAACAAGTTGTTTTCATGAGTCTCGGTAGCAATCAGCTGGCCGGAAGAATTAAATACCTTTGCACCGGTATTGTCAAAAGTTACTGTATTGCTTTTCTTAACAATTTGACTAACGGACAGTAAATTAACATTCAATTAGGGTACTAAATAAATATCTCCAATCTTTACATTTACCGCTCTTTTACCAACTGATATCGCCTATAATATCTGATGTCATTTATTCATTGTTATCTGTATTAATAGTCAGCTTTGCAGAATTTCTTTCGGATTGTAGTAGATCTCGACTTGCTGTCATATGCCGCGAACAACCTGAGTCA